GGTGTCTATCTTAAGCTGTTTTGTCACAAATGGTAAACTGAGTGGAAAAAATGTACTTTTGAATCAGTTGCAACTGATAAATAGCAGACTTTTACTGTGACAGCTTGATTATTTTGACTTTCTTAAAGCATGTTTCCTAAGTCAGTTCCTGGAATGAGGAAAATATATACTTGGGTTTCAATAGCAAGCTTAGCAACAGCTTTTTGGAGAAAATATGAAGTTAATAAGTAACTGAGAGCAAAAGTTTGATCTCCCTATGTTGGTTTAGCCATGCCCTACTTACAAAAAGGGAACTGCTTACAGCAAGAATTTTGCTTGGCATAAAAAGACAGTGTTGAGCAATCTGGATATGGCATGTCAGACTGTTTAAAATCCTTGTTGGCTTGTTTTTTCTTCGTAAAGCCAATTCAAGCTTTTTCCTCTTAACTAAGCAGCTCAAAGAAAATTACCACTGTTGAAGGCTTGGTTATAGGAACAGACTATTATGGTAGTAGATTTAAGAGAAATTAGGAATATTTTTGGATATGAATAGAAGATCTTAGTATCTATTGGAATGTTAGTTTGAATTAAAATGATTAATTTACTAATTTAACAGTCAGTTTTATACAATACAGTGTAATCAGATTTGAAATACATTGATTGGACTATTCTATGGCAGCTGAACCAATAATTTGTCAAGCATGGAAGGCCCTATGTTGAAGATGTACATAATCCTTTGTTTGTATAAATACCACTCCCAAAAGAGACTAGATGTAGTAACTAACCTGCAGAAGGGTTTAATAATACATTTGACTTGTTGCCCCTTAAACTAGGATGTTCATGTTAAGTTCACTCACGTGTTGTAACTGTTTGCATCTAGCGTAGGTTGCTATCTGTAGCTTCTTAAAGTCTGTTTTAGTTTCAAAAAAACCCCTTAAATGTCAACCTTTTGTTAATATGAAAGAAATTGAAGAATGACGGTATAAAAATGAGGAATTTTGATACAGGTTACTTAATCAAAAATATAGTGGTTGGTGTTCATTGTGTTTGGTTGGTTATTTATTGATTTTTAATGCTCTGCTTTCTGGAAGGGCAGGATTATGAGAACCAGCTTCAATCAAGAGCCAGCTTCAGTCACTGTAACTCAGCCTTCTGGGATTTTTATTTATTATTTATTCCCTGCCCCCCTGCCCCCAGCAGGCAGGACACACAATATTGAGGATCTTGGATAAAATTTATCAAACCCTCACTTGCATGACAGGTGGTGGGACTGTGACCTTGATGCTGGACTCCCTGCCTATCCAGATGTTCAAAGGGTGCCATGGGAAGTATGGTATTGGGGACTAGTCCCTGATACCATGCCTTCGATGAGGCTCTTTAAACTTGCCTGTGTGCAGCATCAGCTGACAGGTTCTCCATATGTAGGCAGACTGACAGTCCTGCATGGGGCTGGCACATGTGGTGGAGCTTTACTGAGCCACACCTTCAATTGATGGCACAATGGGGAACAGCCAAAAAAATTACTTAGAACTTGATTGGCCTCTTGTTTTGTTGTTCCACATTTGTTGTATGGCAGGGCTACTATTTATAACATGATTAATGCATAAATTGCGTTATGAGTGTGATGTCTATTAGACTCCCGTGAAGCTAATGCACTTACTAGTTTCTCACTGTTTCCATTTTGCTCTTGAAGTTGTGATGCATCTTTTGGGGTTCCTTTCCATAGGAGATGGAAGTTACAGAAGGCCCTGGATGGCTCCATTCACTGGAAGGAAAAAATGTCGTAAACACTTTTGTTTTTGTGGCAAAACAAGAAACAAAAAAGAAATTGCATGCTAATGGAGCTGATGAGCATCAGTGTTTCCTCTGCTAGAAGGATGGCATAGCCATTGGGAGGGCTTGGGATAGGTAGTTTCTCCTGCAACACTGCTGTTGAAAGTAGGTAGAAAACCAAAATGAACAGGATTTGAATATATGTCGTTATGTAACTGTGGTGTGCCAGCTCCAGAAGGGTGTACCGCACACTCAGGCTAGGCATGGCAAGCTGAAAACCATGTGGTTTTTGCCTGTGTGAGGGTATGGTGAATCATGAGCACTTGAACAGAATGTATGATGGGAATGCTTTGCCTGCTGAAAACCTTGCTAGGTCAAGTGTCCTTGGCACAGGTAGCACTGGTGTAGTTATGCATCATAGAGGTGCAACCCTGGAGTGTATTTCATTCATTTATAGTGTTTTATGTTGGAGGCTTTACATGTTAAATGTTGAGGAGAAAACCTCTTCTGAACAGCAGGGCTATACATAATAACATGTTTAGACCTCCACTATAAGCCCTTGGGGTGTGTTTTCTTGTTTCTTGTTTTTTTTTTTTTCTTCCCCCCACCCCCCTGGAAAAAAAAAGAAGCTCTTTTTGCAAATAAATTGAAAGCAAAGGGTAGATTATGAACAGTGGATAGTGGGAAGCTGTGCAGAGAACCCACTTACCTCTTCAGTTTACTGGAATAGTACTTACAGAGTGTCCCTGCTTAAGAATAGAGAGAGTGACCTTATAGTAATGCATAGTGATTATATTTGAAGGTGTAGAGGAAGCATGAATAAAAGCTTTAAGGATAATCTTAATATTTCTGTTTGTATCAATGATAACTGAACTGGGTGCGTGCCACCTGAATAGTAGCTCCTGTACAGTGCTTTTCACTTGTACATCAATGTAGGCTAAATTCAACTCCGCCCTCAAATGTACCTGTCCCTTTTTTTTTCTTTTTAAATTGAATTCACTGAAAGTTGTATTGCTTTGCTTGAGAGCAAAGTAAAACACTACGGGTGTGTTCAGATGAACGCGTGTGTGTCTTTTGCAGCATCTCAAAGCCCTTTGAGATGATGCAGGAGGCACATGTGGGAATCAAAAAATGTTCTCTATGCTGCAGATTTGCAGTGCAGGGGTGAAATTAGACCCCTGGATATACAGGGGTCAAAAAATACCCCGGGGGAAAAAAGTGGGGCAGGGTACGGTCCGGGACCATGCCCTGAAGCAAATGGAGGCTTGGGTTCTCCACAGAGACACTTCGGTAGCCGGCCAGAGCATCTCTATGGTTGACCCTCAGTCGCTGAAGCATGCTGCCTGCCCATGCAGGGAGCTGGACCCGGGCTCTGTGCCGATAAGTGCGGAGGGGGCCTGGATGAGGGGAACATGGAGAGATCCTCGCCTGCCTTACCTGGCCCCAGCATCCTGGCAATAAAAAAAAAAAAAAAAAAGCAAAAAAAGAAAAAGCCCTGCACTCCTGGCAGTAGCAGCTGCCACTGGGGTCACTGATCTGGGGGGCTGGGGGAACAAGCAGGGGTGGGGCATGTGGCCCCAATGGGGGGGCTATGTGGCCCCTGTGTGGGGGAGTCTGAGCTGTGCTGTGCCATGTGGGGGGCAGGGGACCCACCTGTTCTGCACAGCCCCCCCACAGTCTCCCCATGATCTACCCACACATGCCACGGACCACCCCCATCCCTCCACATCCCCCAACCCCTCTTCCCACCACCCTTCTGCAAATCCCACATTCCCCCAGTGCGCACACCCTGTGTTCCCAGCTGCCAGATGGGATGGGACCTGCTGGCAGGAGCTGTGGCTGCAGGGGCAGCTGTCCCCACATCCTGTTTAGTGAAGGGGTCAGAGGGAGCTCTAACTGTTCTATGGTAAGAAAACCAAAGGCAAACAGCAAAGCATATGGGTATTTAGAATTCATTTTATTATGATGATAGAGACACTGGTAGGCTTGCAAATTGCTTTAACACTGTAGATATATCAATAAAACATGGCCCAACTGATCTCATAGTTTCTCTCTAGATATATATGTATCTATAGATATAAATCAATCTCTCTCTCTCTCCATATATATCTATATATAGGAACATGGATTTCGGGGTATTTAACAGAGTGACTTTGGGATATTTTTATCAGGTATTTTTTCAGTTTTCAAATAGGGATCACCAGAATTCCTGCTAGGGAGGCCGGTGGCAGGACCCAGGCAGAGGAGCCGGTTCAGAGCTGGTACCTTGGACCCAGCTGGAGGTGGCTGACCCCCTGGCCGCTTGGGGCCAGGAGGACATGCTTTGACAGTTCAAAGCGGGCCACCCCACTGGGAACATCTTACGGGCAATAGCTGCCCAGATGGCCGGGCAGGGGGCACACATGGCAGTAGTGCCGCACAAGAGCCAACTCTGCAGCCACAGCCCGCTGGCGGCTGGCCCAGAGGGGCAGATGCATCAACTGGCTGTGCAGTCCCTATCTGGGTCTGACAGGTGCACAGCAGGTCACAGCCATGCAGCAGCCCCCACTGCCAGACTGCTGCAGTAAGGAGAGGGTGCAGGGAACTCTCAGAGCTGCTTCAGCAGTCCAGCTGGCACATGGGGTAGTGTCCCCAGGTACAAATTGGCCAGGTCCCAGAATCACATGAGACTGAGTAGCCGTGAGCTACTTGCCAGGGCAGCCTTTTGGGGCCAGGACAGGACAACTTTTTACACTGTTGGGGCCAGCACAGGTGCTGGCCCTAGGTTCCAGATCTCCCTGGCTGCAGATCCGGGAGGAGCCAGGCAGGGTTATTTTGCCCCAAGTGGCACAACGTGCACCACACCAAAGTGCATGTCTGGGCACGTGCGCTAAGGCAAAAAGCCCTGGCTCAAATTTGCACTGCTTCTATTTGAGCTGCTGCAAGCGCACGTGCCTGCATGTGTGGACACGCCCTACGAGAGTTAAGGTTGTCAGTCTCTTGCCTTCTTTGCTCCTTGACTTCCGGGTCAAAATCCTTAGCTTAATTAAATCAGTTTTGAATATGCTGTATGAAAACAAAAATGCATGCCTTGTGCTCATAGGACTGTCCTCTGCTTGCTGTTCCATTCATGCCTTGTGCTTGTGATTCTGTAGGACTGCCTTCTGCTCCAAAACTAGTGGCGGGGGGAAGAGTTATGGTTCACACTGACTCTTCTGAACTAGAGAACGAAGGTGATTTGAATGTTGTGCTCTTCCCTTTCTCCCCAGACAGCTTGACTGTGTTCCCGATGATGATGGTGGCAGGGGTAGCCGTTGCTGCAGTTGTAGGTGTTGTTTTGCTCATCTCTCTTATTGCGTGTATCGTCGTCAGAAAGAAGAACTCTAAAAAGCGTTATTCTGGGTAAGAACTCTTCTCTCTTCCTCAGCGTGTAGTGGGAAGAACAAAGAGGACCAAAGGGGTTGAGATGGGGCAGGACTCATTCCAGCCAAATCTTTAGGATTTGGCTATTGCAACCTCCCAAATAGGCTTTCAGGATCAAGTGGAGGACTGGGTTTATAGCTGGGATTCATGTCCACACTTGTGCCTGATCATTGTTGTCTGGCTCTATACTACACTTGAATGGACAAATCTATCCTTAGATGCACGTGCAACTCCTATTAAAGTCATTTAACTTCTATTGTCCCCAAATCATAGTTTCGTGCCCATAGGAAATCTCCCCCATTGCTCCAAAAAGGGCCATGGATTGCATGCGTTTCCAATAAATTGGTCTGCTGAGAGAGTATCTCTGGGCTTCTGGTTTCCAGTGCACTGTGGAAGTAGGGTATCTACCCCCATTTATCAGCACACTGTTCAACTTAAGGAAGAAAAAGTCTCTCTCTCTCTCTCTATTCATGCTGTGGCTTCCCTATCTTCGTTTCCACTTGAGATTTAAAAAAACCAAATAAATTTGATTTAAAAACAACACCTGTCTGCTTGAGGGGACAGTATTAAAGCTTTAAGCAGGGTTGTGGGAATACAAGCTCTCGCTCCCTCCCCTCGACTCTCCAAGATGTACTGAATGCAAAGCTGCATGCACCAAAACTGAATGCAGCAGGTTCTATACTTCTTTAGCCCAACCTCCACACATTCTTTCCTGTTTCTTGCACTTATGTGATTTACCTAGACAATAAAAGAAACTTCCCTTCTCTAAGGGAACCTTTCTGGGTGTCTCTAAATGGAACTTTTCCCTACTCTGTCCTGTTCCCAGCTGGAGAGCTTAGAGAAAGTGGGTAAGACTGAATGAAGTGAAGGCGGGTGTGTATGCTCCGAGTTCAGTGTGGAAAGCCTTGCTTCTCTTTCTGCATGTGTTCTTACAATAATACCTAAAGGAAGCATGCACTGACAGGCAAGGGCTCTTGTGCCAGGGTCCAGATGCCTTGCTCATGAGTGATCTGCTCTCCAGTGTTTCTGTCTGAACAATGCACAACGTGGTGCCAGGGCTGGGTTGGTAGTATCCATGCACTGTAAGTTCTTCCAATAGTTTTAACCACTCTAGGCTTCCTTCCAGCAAAATAATCTTTGAATTTAATGCTGCTTTCAGTGACTATATCACCGCTGCATGCCATACTGATTAAGAGGAAGTAGGGGAAGGCTGGATGTGCTGTGGTTACTGTTCGCATCTATGCCACAGACTTGCAGACTTGTTTCTAAATGAAACTAACTTGGTGTGTGGTGGTATGATGCACTGGTATTTAGATAATGATTCTGTCTTGGGCTGAAGTGGGGCGGGGCACTTGGGTGGTATCTGGCACCCCTGCATGGCAGTGACACAATCTCTGTTCTTACTGACTTTGGTGTTTTTTTTTGTTTTTGTTTTTTTTCCTTTCTGCCTTGGTATGCTGGGATTGGATCCTGCTTATCTTCCTCTCTTTACAGAGATCCTGATATAGACGCCAGATTGGGAATGTAACAGGGCTGGGTCTCCTCTTCCAGTCCCACTAGACACCATGGTAACTAATTCATTGGTGGTTGCTGTTTAATACCCGTGTGTATGTGTACACATTTCCTCTTCCCTTGCTGACTAACCAGCTAGCTCTGTGCTAACATAACTCCATTGTAACTTGTGCTGGAATCTGTTACGTAGAATGGCAGGGAGGGGTGATGCATTTCATTAAGTGCTTTGGGTTCATTGTCTCATGTCTAATCAGGGCGGGAATGCTGCTTATCCCAGACTGTGTCCCACTGATCTCTTCCAGTAGAGAACTCACCAGTGCATGGACTAGAATTCAAAAAAATTCAGACTCTTCGTGTAGAAATAAAGCCAAACTCCAATGCCTGTTTTGCTTACATGACAGTAACCTTGTTTTTCTGAAGTACCCATCACCATAGTCTCTCTGTGCACAAGCTTCTTAAAATTGCATTATAACCTGTAGGTACGATACAGACTTGTAGGAATACTTTGAATGAATCCAAGGAAATCACTGCTGATGCATTTTAATTGCCCAAAGGGCTGCTCTGGCGCAGTCCCAGTAAGAGTGGAAGCCCCTCACTGGTAGGTCTCCCATCAATACTTCCCTTTTAATTATTGCCTGTTAAATATTTGAGAGACCAGGTCTCTGAAAGTTTACTTAGCCCCTGGATAAACAAAAAGGTTGGCTTGTGAAAGGCATTCTGTTCAATGTCAGTATCGTTACTCACATGTTTGTCATTGGCTGTGTGCATTCTTTATGGAGAGGTGTATGGTGAGATGAGGATGCTTAGTTATCGGATAGGAAGGGAAATTATTAGTCTTTAGTGCATGTATGTAGATAAGAAGAGTATGAATGGCAGAGGATTGAAAATAAGTTGCTGAGAGGGGGAGAGTTGTCTCAAAATCTGAAGGGCCACTTCTCCTGGGTTTAAAAAGAGGAGGGGGAGGGGAAATATAAGTTTTCCAGAGAGGTGTCTTCTCTCCTCTCTTGTACGCAGACAGAAGGGAGAAAATTGAAAGTCAAACTGAACTGAGCTAATATTAAAGTTTCCTCCAATTTCATGATTTGCTCATGAAAATGGTGGCTCCGTTCTACTATAAATCCAGTGGGCTCTAAACTCTGACAGCCTATCTACTGCTATTGACTACTGTGGTGACCACTAGCTAGATGCTGGTGACAGACACCAGCATCTAGTGAGTGAGGGACTGAATTGGTCTGGATGATAACTAATATAAGATAACTAGTTTAGAGACATCATGCAGTTGCCTGCATGGTGTGGTAGAGCTGGTAGTCCTGTCTCTAGTTGTAGTAATAGTACCCTGTTTCTGTGTGCTGAGGGTTGTGCTGTTCAGCTTGGGTATAGCATGTCACTGGTATGTTACCTTAAATCTGAGTCATCAAGGAAGAAGACTTGCTTCCTGGTGGCTTAGTATGCTTACCGTGGATGGTGGGGAAGAGTAGTAGAGAATACAGTACTTAGGGAAGCTGCTAGCCCTGGTAGAGTTGCTGCTTACCTTTCCATAGGGGGAGGTACTGTTGGTCTGTTTAATGGGAAG